GCAGCTGTGAAAACAGCCTTAGACAAAAGATCCACTCATTCAAACAACCTCAAACTACACGAACTCGAGCAACAACTCGCTGGGTTTCAAGCTGATCGAAGGGCAAATAACAGACAGAACGACATACAGAGATTTCATTATTTACTGGTGGTGTCTTAAACCACTTCCTGGCTTCAGTTTCTTTTCAGATCTTAGGGCAGCTTCACAATCATGTTACCTATCAGCTCACAGGCTCTGATTAACTGTTCGACTCTCTGCCCTCGTCCTTTCAGCTGCTCTGGGTGCTGCTGGGTGCCACCATCGTCGGCCTGCTGCTGCAGAGGCTGGCGGCTCGGCTGGGCGTGGTCACCGGGATGCACCTGGCTGAAGTCTGCAACCGCCAGTACCACACTGTGAGATACGTTTGCCGTTATTGTTCTATTTTCCGTTGTTGTTGTTGTTGCTGCTTCCGCGCTCTCTGTTCTCATCACCGTTCTAAACAGCCTCTCAGCCTCTCAGTCTGACTGAGAGGCTGTGAGCAGAAGCAGTCTTAGTTTACTGAAACTGCCTCCTTGCATTACAGGCACTGCTGTTACAGTAGCTGTAATCCTTGGATTATGCGTCTCAAAACATTAAATCAAACCAGCGTGAGCCGGTGACACTTACAAAACAGTGACAGCATGAATTATTCATGTGGATATATTTTTAAATCCAGCTTATAAGAAATATTTGCATCTGTAAAACATGAAGAGAGAAAATAACTGTTACAAATGTGCCTCTGTTTGCTCTCTTTCTGTCCTCTCAGGCTACACTGCCCACTGTTGGAAACATTGTTTAAGCTTCAGTAGGGAAACGTATGCAGAGCTGCATGAATGAATTGACTTCTTATCTTTGAATCTGTTAACTTTTCTGAGTTTATGTGACCGGTGTGATCCTGCGTTGTGTCTGATCAAAAAAGGTAAAAGAAAGAAAGGCCTCCAAGTAAATAATTTGCCCACTCCAGCTCCTCTCCCACAGGGGAATTGTAGAAAAGGGCTGGCATTTATTTTT